ACACTCAGAAAACCTGGTCACGTATCACCCATCCTTCTGCCAAGACTATTTCCATCCCTAGTCCTGTCCTTTAAAGTGAATACAGAACTTACCTCATGTTTTTTCTCTAGTCTTCAATTTAGAAACCTCACTAATTACCTTGTTAAGCACCAGCAGAACTCCATCCCTCCTGTACAGGTTGCCCTTACTACCAAAGTATTACCCCTTCCTGTGGTCCAGCTCTCCTGTTCTCTCCTCTCTCCCCTCCTACAGATGCTAGATGCACTTGAGAAAGCTGCAGGACAGGTCTTCCCTTGCCTTTTGACCATTTTTTAGCCTTACACAAGCATTATCACTCTGTCTCCCCACTTGCAAAACCCTGAGCAGGACTTTGTGCAACACCAGGGTAGGACAGAACCTTCTGCTCCCAAATTTCCATTTTCTTGAGGTCACTTGAGGTCAAAGAATCAGCTTCAAATTTACACATGGACTCAAATTCACAAGCTTTGAAATTTCCTATGAGAGTGCACTCTGAGAGGTTATTTCTCCAGTTTCTCCTTTCTCGTCCACCTGCAGAGTCCCTGTCCTGTACCAGGACAAGCTGAAGAGTTGGGGCCTCCCCTCCACTACCGCTGCAGCACCGAGCCCAGCACGTCCATGTGCATCCCTGGGTTTGGGGTGGAGCACGAGACAGTCAGCCAGCAGCTCACATTCACAGCCTCCTCCATCCATCGTACACATTAATTGTCTTCTATTATCTGAAGTGTCAACACTTACAGACGTGATACTGGGCAAGACAGACTTAACCGGCTCTTTTATTGTATTACTTGCATTTTAAGGGACAGCTTCAAAGTAGTCTATCAGTGATCAAACCCCTCCTGGACCTTCCCAGCAGAACAGGGTGACAGGAGCTGACCAGGGGACCACATTGGTCCCACTGAGCTGCGCCAAGAGTGACTGCAGGGGCCAAAGGGAGGAGGAAAAGCTTGTTACTTCTCTTTCCTCAAGCAGAAGGGAGGGCAAGTGCTGGCGCTGGGGGTATCACCGGGACAGTGCTAGCCGGTATTTCTCAATCTTCTTTCCCTCACTCCACTGGTGCAGAGAAAACAAAACCACAGTGGGCAGGGACATTGCAATGGCCTTTAGTTATAAATGAAGAGATTAAGTTTTGGATTTTAAGGTTTGGAGAATTTTGGTTTAGTTTTGGGTTTTTTTTTTTTAAAGCCTTCCCCTACTCCATTTGCCACTTATTTGCCACTTCAGGAAAGAGGTATCACACCTGCATCATTCCTCACATTTACCTTCTGATGACCTACAAGACCACAAGTTTCAGACAGAGGAAGGCTGGCTGAAGAGCATCACTCATGTAGACCAAAGTAAAGTTTGTTATTAAAAAAAAAGAGGAAAAAAAAGAGGGGGTTATATGCAATTTTTCTTCAAGTGACAGCAGGTTTTCATTCCACTCTGCAGCAGAGCCCTTCCCTGGTGGTTCAAAAGCACCTTTGCAGATCTCTCACCCAACTTCAAGCATCAAGTAGGGCAACCCCCTACCCAAGCTGGGGACTGCAGGGATGGAGACCTCTCCAGCCTGTCCCTGCTCCCCTCCCAAAGACATTGCTCATGTCCAGTCTGAAACTCCCAAGACACACTCTGCAGGCACTGAATCTTGCTACCTCCCCTGCTCAGCACCATCATCTCGGTAACTGTCCTTCAAGCAGCTATACGGTGGCCACTGGGTCACGCCCTAGCCTCTTCAGCCAGGCTCTGATGTTTCAGGGTAACAGGTGTATCTAACTTTTCTTCTGATAGAACACCATGAGCTCAGGAAAAGATTTAGATTTAGAGATGCTTCAATATTAACGGCACATTTTTCTGCAGGCCAGCTGGCAATTAAAGATCACCACGGTTTTGCAAAAGGCATTAAGCTGATTACTCACATCAGGCCATGGCACCCCGGCTGCTTTCTTGCATGGTTAAAGCTGTCCTGCACAAGGTGCACTCCAAAACTTGGAGTCTTCTTTATCCAGGAAAGGCAGCCCTAGAGCTCCTTTGCTGCAGCCACCCTCCCTGCACCAGGACCTGGGCCCAATCCTGCCCATCTCTGGGCATCTGCCAGCCCTCTCGCAGCTGTAATTCAGCATCTTGAGACACACACACTCCCTCGGAGACAGAGAGAGAGTGGATTGTGGCAGCTGCAGCTAAAATCTGAAGTGTTTTGTAGCTCCAGGGAGGTCATGATCAAAGAGATTTTATTACTTCCCCCTCCCCAAAAAAATTCTGTAGGAAATTAATTTATTTGGCTCAGGAAAGAATTTCATCACAAGGCAAAAAGAAGCTGCATAAGTATAAAGTACAGGAAAAAACACCAGAAATCAAGAAGTGGAAACAGCAAAGTCCAAGGCAGAAACCAAGCATGAATTTTTGGAGCACTGGGAGTGATCTCAGGGCATGTATTTAAACTAGGTCAGAACTGGTAGCTTATTCTATCAACAGGAAAACAATCATTATCACCTATTTTCCTTTAGTTTAACCTTTTAACATCAGTTCTAGGTGGCTCAGGTTCCCCCCAGCCATCTCCTGGGGTGACTGGCATTTAACTTTGCACCATGAGGCCACAGTGGTCCAGCAACAAGCTCTTTTTTAGTGACTCTGATAAGAGATTGCTCTCCAAGCCCAGCTTCCACAACCATCCAACAAAAAATAAAAATAAAATTTAAAAAAAAAAAAAAAAAAAGAAC